GGGCTAGGGTAAGAAGGGGAGGGGGGCAGAGGGGGAGATGTAGAAAGGTGCAAGGGCCCAGAAACAGTCAGCTACATTTTGATAACTCTTGTCTCGTGTTAAAATGAGCACGCAAGTACTATGAGGTAACGAGAGAGAAGGGAAGTAGTGAGGAGGATATCAACCCTATCCGTACGTGGTGTTTTACTATCGCATCCATACGACGTGGGGAACACCGTACCACCACATTCCAAAGAGGAAATTTACCCGTTAATCCGATCCTTATGCTTTGCATAGCAGTCTGTCAAAATGATTTTTTGAGAAATACTGAAAGTTTCAAAGAGACCTTCAAAGAAAAGTATTCTGAAATGTGAAGAATACAACCCCGGGGTACAAAATGACCCCAGGATGTACGGATACGGTTAACATGTACTTATGCGTAGTAGAATTATAAAATGGCTGATTTATCAAAGTCATGCTCATACTGTGCCTGAACAAGATAGGGGGAACTGCTGCTTTTTCTTTTCTCATCCTTACTATCGTCATTTTTCATCTACTTCTTTTGTATGCAGGTCACTCTCTTGTGAGTCGTTATTTCCGGGGAGCCTTGATAGTCGAAGCAGAATTTGTGCTGTTGAGGCTAGAGAGGTAACCAGAGTAAGCGTGATTCCTTGTATGGACTTCTCTGTTGACATCCACCCCTTGCCGCTCATATTATGACCTTATGCAGTTACCAGCGCCGTCAAATCTCTACTAAAACTAAAAAGACGATGGTGTAAAACCAAATGTGACACACTTTAAAATGAGCTCTCAAGTACTATGACGTAACAAGGGAGAATGGAAGCTGTGAGGGCGATAGGTGGTTGCCATGGCGACTCACCGCGACAGACTCCTGTCAAAGATCTCCTCGGGGTAGGCCACCTTGCGGGAGCCCACTTTGCTCAGCACGATGGCCGCGTTCCCGTGTTGAGGGTCCACCAGTGTGTAGGACATGACGGTCCCGTCGTGGCAGCCCACCAGCACGGTGTGCTCGTCCTCGCACACGTGTAGTCGACACACCGGGGCGTGTACCTCGCAGCTCGCCAACACGGCACCGTCAGAGAGCCGCACGGCGTGGAGCAGACTGCCGCTGTAGTACAGCACAGCCCGACCGTCTAGGGCCATAGCGCGGGGAGGGAGCGCGGGCGACGGGACTTGGCCTATGAACTCTCCGCTCGGCACGTGGAAGATGTTGGAGCTTTGGTCGAGACACAGAGTGAGGTCTCGCGAGAAGACCAGGGGGCTGGTTCCGACACCGTAGCTAGGCCGGGGGAAGGGGATGCAGAGGAGGAGCGGGGAGCCGGTGGACAGGTCGAGGAAGAACAGCCCGTGTGTCCGTAGTGTGGGGGCGTCAGGGGTGTCGGTGTGGGGTGTGTGGGGTGTGTGGGGGGTGTTGAAGCTGTCGCTCTCGCTGATGTGGTCCTTACAGGAGAAGATGGCAGCGACCACACTGCCCTTATAAGGCATGGGGCACTCCCTGACCTCCAGGATGTCTTCCAGATGCTCCTCAAACTTGAGACTGACCGCGTCGTATGACGTCATCGACATACCGTCCTGCATGTTGAACGCGCACACCTGGGGCGAGCTGAAGGTGCCTGTGCTCTGATCAAACTGAGCGGCCGAACTGACCACCAGGTACTGGTCATCGCGAGTGACCAGCGGCTTGGCGCGGATGACGTCTACAGACTGCATGTACACGTGCTGGTAGAACTCGTCGCCCGTGAGCTGGAGCACAGAGATGTGGTAGGGAGCGCCGAACGACCTGTCCGTCTGAGCCACCATGACGATGCAGGGCGTGTGGTGGGTGGCCACGCAGTACCCCGAAGTGTCCCCGGTCTCCAAGACCAGCTGGCGGGCCTCCAGGTTCCAGAGCTTGAAGGCCGTGCCGCGGAGCCGGGGCCGGGTGGACACGAGCAGCCAGCCTCCATCCGGACTGATCGCAAAGTCCTCCACGGGCGTGTCGTGGGTCAAGAGGTCAACCATGGAGCCAGAGGTCATGTCCACCACGCCCAGCTCGTCACTGTGTCGGCATCTATGGGTTGGCACG